AGCAGTAGTGATTCCGATAAGGAAACCTGGCAAAGATCCAACTAAACCCACAAGTTACAGACCAATTGCCCTTACATCTAATTTGTGTAAGATAATGGAGGGAATGATAACAGATAGATTGTCATATGTAATGGAAAAAATAAATTTATTGGTAAGCTGTCAGAGTGGTTTTAGGAAGGGAAGGAATACAATGGATTCAGTAGTAAGATTAGAGACTGAAATAAGGAAGGCACAAACAAATAAAGAGACCGTAGTTGCAGTATTCTTTGATATTGAAAAAGCCTATGATATGATGTGGAAGGAGGGGTTATTAATCAAGCTGGATAAAATAGGGATAGGTGGGAAATTGTTTAACTGGATAAAAGACTTTCTGTTTGGTAGGAAAATTCAAGTGAGAATTGGGGCAGAAATATCAAGCCAATATGAGGTTGGGAATGGAACACCCCAAGGAAGTGTGATAAGTCCGCTGTTATTTATTATTATGATAAATGATGTCTTTGTAAATGTTCCTGAAGACATTGGAACATCTTTGTTTGCAGATGATGGGGCAGTGTGGAACAGAGAAAGGAATACAGAGTACATTACTAGGAAGGTTCAGAAAGCAATTGATAAAGTGGTAGATTGGGAATATGAATGGGGGTTTAGGTTCTCAATAGAAAAGACTCAAACAGTCTTTTTTACCAGGAAAAGAATTCAGGAAGATAGGAGGTTAAGGATGTATGGCAGAGAGATAGAGAGGGTAGGATCCTTTAAATTCTTAGGCGTGATATTTGACTCGAGGTTGACATTTGCAGAACAAATAAAGAAAATTGAGGACAAGTGTAAAAAGGTAATTAATGTGATGAGATGTTTGACAGGAAGAGAGTGGGGAGCCAGTCGTTCATCTCTTAAAAGGATTTATGTGGCCTTGATAAGATCGGTGTTGGATTATGGTAGTATAGTGGTTGGGTCTGCAGCTAAGTCTCTTTTAAAGAGGTTAGAGGTTATTCAGACTCAAGCACTAAGAATTTGCTGTGGTGCTTTTAAGACTTCTTCAGTACCTGCTATACAAGTGGAAATGGGCGAAATGCCACTGGAATTAAGAAGGATTCAACTGATGGCTAATTATTGGGCAGGACTGCAGGGATATGATGACTCTCATCCCACAAAAGCAGTACTGCAGGATTGCTGGGAAAATGGAAGAAATTTAAAGGAAAACTTTGGTTGAATTGGAAACAACGTAGCAAAAGTATAAGGGCAAATAAGCCCTACGGTAGTTTTTCCAGATTGCCCCTTGGAAGATTGCTTGGCCTGAGGTAGACTGGTTTG